CTTTTCAGGACGACCACGTTATTACCAAAGAATAGAAGATTTACATATACGAATATGATTTAATTTCAAAAATAAACTATAAAACTGCTTGATATATAACATTGAGACTTAAATGAACTCAAATGGTACAAATGGTAGGTTCACAATACTATTCGGAAGCTAATGTTTGATTTGTTCGGCCGTCGGTCCAGTAGATTAGTGGTCGAAAGCTACAGGATCTAAATGTTCAATTCTTAGATTACATTGGCGACTCACTCGTATTTCTTCCTCAAAAGATGTAACGAGTTGCCGCTTACGCTTACACTTTTCTGTTGCAAGCAGTACAGTTTGTACAAAATACATTCATCCCATGTGCATGTGTAGTTTGATATTTCAGTGACCGATTGTTTTCCAGCGCATTTTAATATTATTGTATTATAAATATTATTGAAAATTTGTCTTCTCTCGAAATTTTAATGGTGGTCCTGAAAAGGACCGATTGCTGAATGAAGTACAAGCTGTACTAGTTTTTTAACCGCCGAAGCCGTACAGGGTGCGGCCTTGCCTCTTCAGGGCGTACACAACATCCATGGCTGTGACAGTCTTCCTCTTGGCGTGTTCGGTGTAGGTGACGGCATCACGGATAACGTTCTCCAAGAACACCTTCAGAACGCCACGTGTTTCCTCGTAAATGAGTCCAGAGATGCGCTTTACGCCGCCACGACGAGCCAAACGGCGGATAGCTGGCTTCGTGATACCCTGGATGTTATCACGCAGCACTTTGCGATGACGCTTGGCGCCTCCTTTTCCCAAGCCTTTGCCTCCTTTACCGCGACCAGTCATTTTCACTCTTTTCTACTGTTAACACGTTAACAGACTGCACGAAAGTCACTGAAGAACTAATTCCAAATTTTCGGCGTGCCCCTATATATACCTAAAACGCCAGAAACACGAGCGAGTCCGAACGATATGTCCGCCTCGCTCTCCGCTCGACAAATGAGATGGCCTCTGCTTCTCTCTCTTTTCAACCCTCCACGTTTTGCTATATAAGTAGGTAGCAAATGCGGCGATCGTTTATTGTGTTTTGAAACGTGAAGTGAACGTGAACAGCAGTGAATTCGAAAATGGCCCGTACCAAGCAAACCGCTCGCAAATCGACTGGTGGCAAGGCGCCACGCAAACAACTGGCTACTAAGGCCGCTCGTAAGAGCGCCCCAGCCACCGGAGGCGTGAAGAAGCCCCATCGCTATCGCCCTGGAACTGTTGCCCTGCGTGAGATCCGTCGCTACCAGAAGAGTACCGAGCTGCTGATCCGCAAACTGCCTTTCCAGCGTCTGGTGCGTGAAATCGCTCAGGACTTCAAGACTGACCTGCGATTCCAGAGCTCGGCGGTGATGGCTCTGCAGGAAGCTAGCGAAGCCTATCTGGTTGGCCTCTTTGAAGATACTAACTTGTGCGCCATTCATGCCAAGCGTGTCACCATCATGCCCAAGGACATCCAGTTGGCCCGTCGCATTCGCGGCGAGCGAGCTTAAGTTGAGACGGCTTCAACTGGCTGCCAATGCTCCAGCATACTTTGTACAAATCGGTCCTTTTCAGGACCACAAATTACGTTCAATGAGATATTAATTTTAATTCAGCAGCAGCAACGTATATAAAATTAAGAAATAGTCGGAAGTATGAAAGACATGGTCAATACTTTCAAACATCTGAAAAAAATCGAAAATCTATCAAATATATTCTTATTATAACCTAGTGAACATAATGAAACAAAATAAGATTAGAAAATTACAGATTTTATATTTTTTCTTAATCGCTAACTTCATGGCGACCTATGTCTATGGACCATTCAGTGGAGTATTTTTGTCTTGGGTAAATATAAAACAAGTTATAAAAGACGGCATTTTGTGTCATATCTTGATGTAAATGACTTTAACTTTAATGTTTATCAACGAACGTGACAATATATGTTTAATTTCTTATTTTCAAATATGTTTTTAAAAACATTTCACTTGTGATTTCGGCAAACTTTTAAAATTAGTATGGTTTAATGGGACAAGAACGCTCAACGTTAAACATAAGTAATAAATTGAAAACTTATTTAAAACAGTCTGAAAATAAAACATATACATTATTTAATGCATTATTTATTATATTTAATAAAAAAAGATTCTAAATTACATATTTTATGTTTTTTTAGGTTAAATGAGTGCGACTTCTACGTACGCACACTCTAAAAATGAGTGTGGTTCAATGGGACAAAAACGCTCAACATTAGACATAATTAAAAATTCGAAAAATTATTAAAAACAGTCTGAAAATAAAACATATACATTATTCAATGTATTATTTATTATATTATATAAAAAAAGATTCAAAATTATATAATTTATGTTTTTTTGTAAGAAAAATTGAGTGCGTGAAGCCGCACACTTTTAAAATGTGTGTGGTTTAATGGGACACGAACGCTCAGCATTAGACATCAGTAAAAAATCGAAATATTATTAAAAACAGTCTGAAAATAACACATATACACTATTCAATGCTTTACTTATTATGTTAAATAAAAAAAAGAATCAAAAATATGTATTTTATGTTTTTTTTTAAATGTAAAATTCAGTGCGGCCTCTACCTAATTCATATATGGGACTCAAAGTATCCGAATTTGGAAAAACTATTTATAAAATTGCCTGAAAAGCTAAATCCACTTAAACAAAGACAAAAATCATTTTATAAAATTGCAAATAAATGTAATGTTTCGAAAGATTAATATTTTTAACAGTCCGAAAACTATTATCGAATGTAGTCTGATAGACAACTTTGTACGTAGCCAAGGGACAACTTGAAACAAGAATTAAAATACCTAAATTAATGATAAGTGATTATATTTTTGGTTTTTCGTAAAGTAAAAGGTTCGAATTTTATTTTTTATTAACAAGATTCCAAGCATTTCAGAGATTTCATATTTTAAAATGGGTTTTTAAAAAAATTGTTCATGTTACGAATGTCAATGTTGAAGTTCATGCAGCAATAAAAAGTCACAAAAACAAGATACTTGCAATTCGAAAACGGTAATTGATTAATTCATCTTTTAAGGATGTATACCAATAAAAACATATTTTCTATTTAAAATCTTAAGCACTGAAAACAAGAAAATAAGTTTGCACTTCAAGCAAACATTAGCAGAGCAAATGACTGATGCCAGACCCACAGTTAAAGTGCTCTCCTCCTCGATTCTCATCCGAACGAAGGAGGTCGGTAACGAGCGCGCGCGCCATTTTCTAAACAAAAAAGTGTATTTCAGTGAATAAAAATGTCTGATTCTGCAGTTGCAACGTCCGCTTCCCCAGTGGCTGCCCCACCAGCGCCAGTTGAGAAGAAGGTGGCCGCCAAAAAGGCATCTGGATCCGCTGCTACAAAGGCAAAGAAGACCACTGCCCCGCCATCGCATCCGCCAACTCAGCAAATGGTAGACGCTTCCATCAAGAATTTGAAGGAGCGTGGCGGCTCATCGCTTCTGGCAATCAAGAAATATATCAGTGCCACTTATAAATGCGATGCCCAGAAGCTGGCTCCATTCATCAAGAAGTACTTGAAATCTGCCGTGGTCAATGGAAAGCTGATTCAAACAAAGGGAAAGGGTGCGTCTGGCTCATTTAAACTGTCGGCCTCCGCCAAGAAGGATCCCAAGCCAAAGGTTGCGTCTGCTGAGAAGAAAGTGAAAAGCAAGAAGGTAGCCGCCAAGAAGACCGGAGCCACCGCCAAGAAGGCTGCCACGGGAGCTGCCGACAAGAAGCCCAAGGCTAAGAAGGCTGTTGCCACCAAAAAGACCGCCGAGAAGAAGAAAACGGAGAAGACGAAGGCCAAGGATGCCAAGAAAACTGGAACCGTAAAGGCAAAGCCAGCAGCAACAAAGGCCAAGTCGACGGCAGCGAAGCCGAAGGCGGCCAAAGCACCAAAAGCCAAACCAGCGGCGTCTGCTAAACCCAAAAAGGCGGTGAAGAAAGCAGCTGCTCCTGCTACCGCTAAGAAGCCGAAAGCCAAGACTACGGCTGCTAAGAAGTAAATTGTGAAAAAGTACAGTACCTGGTACACGCTCGCAATCGCAATTTCAGATTTCGAAATCTGAAATTAGTTTAACAAGCCCTTTTCAGGGCTACAACTTTGGTTAACAAGAGAAAGGAACTTTCAATTGAAAACATATTGTACATTTAATGTATCCATTTATATTGTGGCACCTGGCCGCCAGTAGAAAGTATATCAGTTCATAGAGGAGACATTGCACAATTTCTTTGTAAATAGATGTTAATGATCAAGTCCTTTAAAAAAATGGTGCACCAAATTGATAATTTTATATTTTATGGCAAATGGCCAATGGCAAATGGTTTATGGTATATTGAAAATTTAGTTTCTTTGGTAAAATATGTTGTGGCCCTGAAAAGGGCCGTTTTGGATCTTTCTCCGCATCCGCAGCAAGAGAAAATTACTTGGAGCTGGTGTACTTGGTGACAGCCTTGGTTCCCTCACTAACGGCGTGCTTGGCCAACTCTCCGGGCAGGAGCAGGCGAACAGCCGTTTGGATTTCCCGACTGGTGATGGTCGAGCGCTTGTTGTAGTGAGCCAGACGAGAGGCCTCGGCAGCAATGCGCTCGAAGATATCATTCACAAAGCTGTTCATGATGCTCATCGCCTTCGACGAAATGCCGGTGTCAGGATGGACCTGCTTCAGGACCTTGTAAATGTAGATGGCGTAGCTCTCCTTCCTCTTGCGCTTCTTCTTCTTGTCGGTCTTGGTGATGTTCTTCTGGGCCTTGCCAGCCTTCTTGGCTGCCTTTCCACTAGTTTTAGGCGGCATTATTCACTTCACTTATGATTTCACAAACACAATTCACTGATCATAGTGGTGCGAAGAGAGTGTTCAGCTTTATACTTTTTTTCGAGCAATGTTTTCAGGTCTATGGCACCCACCCCTAACTGAACGCGCAGGCAGACGAAAAAGTATAAATACGTGGCTACCCGGGGCTGGGCGAGCATTCAGTGTGTTTTCAGTGTGTAAAGTGAACCAAGTGAAATACTCGTAAAGCAAAATGTCTGGTCGTGGAAAAGGTGGCAAAGTGAAGGGAAAGGCAAAGTCCCGCTCGAACCGTGCCGGTCTTCAGTTCCCAGTGGGCCGTATTCACCGTCTGCTCCGCAAGGGCAACTATGCCGAGCGTGTTGGTGCCGGCGCTCCTGTTTACCTAGCTGCCGTGATGGAATATCTGGCCGCTGAGGTTCTCGAGTTGGCTGGCAATGCTGCCCGTGACAACAAGAAGACTAGGATTATCCCGCGTCATCTGCAGCTGGCCATCCGCAACGACGAGGAGTTGAACAAGCTGCTCTCCGGTGTCACCATTGCCCAGGGCGGAGTGCTGCCCAACATCCAGGCCGTTCTGTTGCCCAAGAAGACCGAGAAAAAGGCTTAATCGTTTTAAAAGCGGAGCTCATTTGTACATACAAACATATACCCAACCGTCCTTTTCAGGACGACCACGTTATTACCAAAGAATAGAAGATTTACATATACGAATATGATTTAATTTCAAAAATAAACTATAAAACTGCTTGAAATATAACATTGAGACTTAAATGAATTCAAATGGTACAAATGGTAGGTTCACAATACTATTCGGAAGCTAATGTTTGATTTGTTCGGCCGTCGGTCCAGTAGATTAGTGGTCGAAAGCTACAGGATCTAAATGTTCAATTCTTAGATTACATTGGCGACTCACTCGTATTTCTTCCTCAAAAGATGTAACGAGTTGCCGTTTACGCTTACACTTTTCCGTTGCAAGCAGTACAGTTTGTACAAAATACATTCATCCCATGTGCATGTGTAGTTTGATATTTCAGTGACCGATTGTTTTCCAGCGCATTTTAATATTATTGTATTATAAATATTATTGAAAATTTGTCTTCTCTCGAAATTTTAATGGTGGTCCTGAAAAGGACCGATTGCAGAATGAAGTACAAGCTGTACTAGTTTTTTAACCGCCGAAGCCGTACAGGGTGCGGCCTTGCCTCTTCAGGGCGTACACAACATCCATGGCTGTGACAGTCTTCCTCTTGGCGTGTTCGGTGTAGGTGACGGCATCACGGATAACGTTCTCCAAGAACACCTTCAGAACGCCACGTGTTTCCTCGTAAATGAGTCCAGAGATGCGCTTTACGCCGCCACGACGAGCCAAACGGCGGATAGCTGGCTTCGTGATACCCTGGATGTTATCACGCAGCACTTTGCGATGACGCTTGGCGCCTCCTTTTCCCAAGCCTTTGCCTCCTTTACCGCGACCAGTCATTTTCACTCTTTTCTACTGTTAACACGTTAACACACTGCACGAAAGTCACTGAAGAACTAATTCCAAATTTTCGGCGTGCCCCTATATATACCTAAAACGCCAGAAACACGAGCGAGTCCGAACGATATGTCCGCCTCGCTCTCCGCTCGACAAATGAGATGGCCTCTGCTTCTCTCTCTTTTCAACCCTCCACGTTTTGCTATATAAGTAGGTAGCAAATGCGGCGATCGTTTATTGTGTTTTGAAACGTGAAGTGAACGTGAACAGCAGTGAATTCGAAAATGGCCCGTACCAAGCAAACCGCTCGCAAATCGACTGGTGGCAAGGCGCCACGCAAACAACTGGCTACTAAGGCCGCTCGTAAGAGCGCCCCAGCCACCGGAGGCGTGAAGAAGCCCCATCGCTATCGCCCTGGAACTGTTGCCCTGCGTGAGATCCGTCGCTACCAGAAGAGTACCGAGCTGCTGATCCGCAAACTGCCTTTCCAGCGTCTGGTGCGTGAAATCGCTCAGGACTTCAAGACTGACCTGCGATTCCAGAGCTCGGCGGTGATGGCTCTGCAGGAAGCTAGCGAAGCCTATCTGGTTGGCCTCTTTGAAGATACTAACTTGTGCGCCATTCATGCCAAGCGTGTCACCATCATGCCCAAGGACATCCAGTTGGCCCGTCGCATTCGCGGCGAGCGAGCTTAAGTTGAGACGGCTTCAACTGGCTGCCAATGCTCCAGCATACTTTGTACAAATCGGTCCTTTTCAGGACCACAAATTACGTTCAATGAGATATTAATTTTAATTCAGCAGCAGCAACGTATATAAAATTAAGAAATAGTCGGAAGTATGAAAGACATGGTCAATACTTTCAAACATCAGAAAAAAATCGAAAATCTATCAAATATATTCTTATTATAACCTAGTGAACATAATGAAACAAAATAAGATTAGAAAATTACAGATTTTATATTTTTTCTTAATCGCTAACTTCATGGCGACCTATGTCTATGGACCATTCAGTGGAGTATTTTTGTCTTGGGTAAATATAAAACAAGTTATAAAAGACAGCATTTTGTGTCATATCTTGATGTAAATGACTTTAACTTTAATGTTTATCAACGAACGTGACAATATATGTTTAATTTCTTATTTTCAAATATGTTTTTAAAAACATTTCACTTGTGATTTCGGCAAACTTTTAAAATTAGTATGGTTTAATGGGACAAGAACGCTCAACGTTAAACATAAGTAATAAATTGAAAACTTATTTAAAACAGTCTGAAAATAAAACATATACATTATTTAATGCATTATTTATTATATTTAATAAAAAAAGATTCTAAATTACATATTTTATGTTTTTTTAGGTTAAATGAGTGCGACTTCTACGTACGCACACTCTAAAAATGAGTGTGGTTCAATGGGACAAAAACGCTCAACATTAGACATAATTAAAAATTCGAAAAATTATTAAAAACAGTCTGAAAATAAAACATATACATTATTCAATGTATTATTTATTATATTATATAAAAAAAGATTCAAAATTATATAATTTATGTTTTTTTGTAAGAAAAATTGAGTGCGTGAAGCCGCACACTTTTAAAATGTGTGTGGTTTAATGGGACAAGAACGCTCAGCATTAGACATCAGTAAAAAATCGAAATATTATTAAAAACAGTCTGAAAATAACACATATACACTATTCAATGCTTTACTTATTATGTTAAATAAAAAAAAGAATCAAAAATATGTATTTTATGTTTTTTTTTAAATGTAAAATTCAGTGCGGCCTCTACCTAATTCATATATGGGACGCAAAGTATCCGAATTTGGAAAAACTATTTATAAAATTGCCTGAAAAGCTAAATCCACTTAAACAAAGACAAAATTCATTTCATAAAATTGCAAATAAATGTAATGTTTCGAAAGATTAATATTTTTAACAGTCCGAAAACTATTATCGAATGTAGTCTGATAGACAACTTTGTACGTAGCCAAGGGACAACTTGAAACAAGAATTAAAATACCTAAATTAATGATAAGTGATTATATTTTTGGTTTTTCGTAAAGTAAAAGGTTCGAATTTTATTTTTTATTAACAAGATTCCAAGCATTTCAGAGATTTCATATTTTAAAATGGGTTTTTAAAAAAATTGTTCATGTTACGAATGTCAATGTTGAAGTTCATGCAGCAATAAAAAGTCACAAAAACAAGATACTTACAATTCGAAAACGGTAATTGATTAATTTATCTTTTAAGGATGTATACCAATAAAAACATATTTTCTATTTAAAATCTTAAGCACTGAAAACAAGAAAATAAGTTTGCACTTCAAGCAAACATTAGCAGAGCAAATGACTGATGCCAGACCCACAGTTAAAGTGCTCTCCTCCTCGATTCTCATCCGAACGAAGGAGGTTGGTAACGAGCGCGCGCGCCATTTTCTAAACAAAAAAGTGTATTTCAGTGAATAAAAATGTCTGATTCTGCAGTTGCAACGTCCGCTTCCCCAGTGGCTGCCCCACCAGCGCCAGTTGAGAAGAAGGTGGCCGCCAAAAAGGCATCTGGATCCGCTGCTACAAAGGCAAAGAAGACCACTGCCCCGCCATCGCATCCGCCAACTCAGCAAATGGTAGACGCTTCCATCAAGAATTTGAAGGAGCGTGGCGGCTCATCGCTTCTGGCAATCAAGAAATATATCAGTGCCACTTATAAATGCGATGCCCAGAAGCTGGCTCCATTCATCAAGAAGTACTTGAAATCTGCCGTGGTCAATGGAAAGCTGATTCAAACAAAGGGAAAGGGTGCGTCTGGCTCATTTAAACTGTCGGCCTCCGCCAAGAAGGATCCCAAGCCAAAGGTTGCGTCTGCTGAGAAGAAAGTGAAAAGCAAGAAGGTAGCCGCCAAGAAGACCGGAGCCACCGCCAAGAAGGCTGCCACGGGAGCTGCCGACAAGAAGCCCAAGGCTAAGAAGGCTGTTGCCACCAAAAAGACCGCCGAGAAGAAGAAAACGGAGAAGACGAAGGCCAAGGATGCCAAGAAAACTGGAACCGTAAAGGCAAAGCCAGCAGCAACAAAGGCCAAGTCGACGGCAGCGAAGCCGAAGGCGGCCAAAGCACCAAAAGCCAAACCAGCGGCGTCTGCTAAACCCAAAAAGGCGGTGAAGAAAGCAGCTGCTCCTGCTACCGCTAAGAAGCCGAAAGCCAAGACTACGGCTGCTAAGAAGTAAATTGTGAAAAAGTACAGTACCTGGTACACGCTCGCAATCGCAATTTCAGATTTCGAAATCTGAAATTAGTTTAACAAGCCCTTTTCAGGGCTACAACTTTGGTTAACAAGAGAAAGGAACTTTCAATTGAAAACATATTGTACATTTAATGTATCCATTTATATTGTTGCACCTGGCCGCCAGTAGAAAGTATATCAGTATACCAGGTTCATAGAGGAGACATTGCACAATTTCTTTGTAAATAGATGTTAATGATTAAGTCCTTTAAAAAAATGGTGCACCAAATTGATAATTTTATATTTTATGGCAAATGGTTTGTGGTATATTGAAAATTTAGTTTCTTTGGTAAAATATGTTGTGGCCCTGAAAAGGGCCGTTTTGGATCTTTCTCCGCATCCGCAGCAAGAGAAAATTACTTGGAGCTGGTGTATTTGGTGACAGCCTTGGTTCCCTCACTAACGGCGTGCTTGGCCAACTCTCCGGGCAGGAGCAGGCGAACAGCCGTTTGGATTTCCCGACTGGTGATAGTCGAGCGCTTGTTGTAGTGAGCCAGACGAGAGGCCTCGGCAGCAATGCGCTCGAAGATATCATTCACAAAGCTGTTCATGATGCTCATCGCCTTCGACGAAATGCCGGTGTCAGGATGGACCTGCTTCAGGACCTTGTAAATGTAGATGGCGTAGCTCTCCTTCCTCTTGCGCTTCTTCTTCTTGTCGGTCTTGGTGATGTTCTTCTGGGCCTTGCCAGCCTTCTTGGCTGCCTTTCCACTAGTTTTAGGCGGCATTATTCACTTCACTTATGATTTCACAAACACAATTCACTGATCATAGTGGTGCGTTCAGTTTCAGTTTCAGTTTATTGTCGGTTTCTTTTTGGGTTTAGATACATAGTTAATCTTATATAATAGTAATACAAAAATGACAAGTTTATGTTTACTTAGCTTAGTTAGTGTTACATTTTTAACCCTGCGCTTTCAAGCTTTTCCGGGCGTTCGTTTTTACATTATGATTTATCTTTATTTGTACTCTGTACGGCATTGATATTAGTGTATTTGTATTTTGTTTCTTATATTTACTTATATTCAGGGAAAAATGTTTACAAAACAGAAAAACCTGAGAGAATGATGATTGATTTTTGGTTGTTGTGTTCTTAAAAGCTAGAGAAGACTAAGATTAATGGGAAGGGTGGGGGCGTATTTACAAAGGATGGTGTATACAAGGTATTTAAGGCACGGTGGCTGGTGTTTATTATAAAATATTTTTACTGGTTTGTGTTGTATACCAGATTGTTTGGGTTTATGGAGTCATGCCTCCTATGATAAAATATCAGTTTATTATTTGTATTGTATATTATTCCTATTTCTTTGAGGTAGTTTATATGGTTTATTGCTAAATTATGAATGGAAAAGTTAATAGGAGGTTGTTTTTGGGCGACGCTGTTTGAGATCAGATGATTACTATTGTTTCGGTTGTTTTCAACGAATTGTTCGATAATTTTGAATATTTGGGTATCGATGCGCTTGGTTTGTGTTAGTTGGTATAGGTTGCTGTTGTTTATAAAGTGATTTGTTATGGAGTTTCTGGCAGAGGAGCCCAGGGCTCTACGTAGTATTTTTCGTTCAAAAAGTCTTAGATTTTCCATTTCACTTGATTTTAAGTTGAACCAGGCTATGTGGCCGTATGTGAGTATTGGTTGTATTAATTTTTTATATATTAGCGATCTTATTTTGATTAATTCTTTGTTTGAATCTGATGCATTTGTTCCGAGTGAACCAAAAGCTTTATGAATTTGGGCTATTTGAATTTTCGCTTTTTTAAGGAGATATTGTGTGTTTGGCTTAAAACTTAGTTTTTCGTCATAGTATACTCCCAGGTATTTTATTTCCTTTACATTTTTTATTTCAGTGTTTCTGTTGACATATATTTTGGGTTGAAAATTACGAGCATTTGGGTATAGATTACGTATCACGTGACCTTTTAATATGGTGCTTTCACATTTGCTGGTATTTAGTTTGAGTCGCCATTTATTAAAATAGTCGGACAGTTGATCAAGGTATTCGTTTAGGTCAGTCTCTGCATTGGAGATTCTGGCTCCCGAGGCGAGCAGTAGGATGTCGTCAGCGTATACAAATGGCTGGATTATGGCTCTGGATGTTGAGTTAAGATGTCGCTGAAATTCTGGAAGGTCTGCTAAGTAGATGTTATACAGGATGGGAGCTAGGGTGGATCCTTGTGGGACTCCTGCGACTATTTCCCGGATAAGTGAGCGTTCAGTACCATCAGAGCTGATTACGTAGAAGGAACGGTTTGTTAGGTAGTTAAATATTATTTTAGTCAGATGCTGGTTAAAGTTGTGTAGGTGGCACATTTTATATATCAGTGCATTTGTCCAGACCGTATCAAATGCTTTTTCGAAGTCCAGGGCACATGCTATGACGGCTCGTTTGTTACTTATATTGGAGTATATAAAGTTATTAGCGGCTGCTAGTGAATGGGATATTGACATATTTTTCCGGAATCCAAATTGAAATGGTTGGAGGATTGTGTTATTTTCTAGATGTTCTGTTAGTTTCAAGGCAAGTATTTTTTCTAGTAGTTGGCTTATTGCAGATAGTATTGAGATTGGTCTGAATCCCAGAAGGGATTCATGATTAGCTTTTGGTTTTGGAATGGCAATTACTTTGCTGCATTTCCAGCTGCTAGGGAAGTATGATATGTTTAAGCAGTGATTAAATATCCGTGCAATGTGGCTTAGTACCGGTATATTCATTCTTTTTAGAAGGTAGTTGCTCGTTCCATCTGGACCGAGCGTTTTCTTTGCGTTTCCACTCTTTATAAGCTCAAAAAGTTGATTGCTGTTCGTGAACCCGTGTTCTTCCGCATTTTGCCAGTTTCCATCAGCTGTAATAATTTCATTAAAGGTGATGGATGGGCTATTTTCGTTTGAGAATGTTTCCCTTACTGTGCTTTGGATTAGGTTAGCATGAGGCTGGTGCTGTGGGTTTGCTGTCGATAGGCTGTCATTTTGCTTGTGAATTCGTTCAAAGGACCAAGCAAGTCCATTTATTTTATCAAATTCTGTTTTTAAGATGGCTGGAGTATTTATATCAATGGTTTGTATTTCAACTGGTGTGAGTATTATGTTTTGATTTCTATGGTTAGGTTGTGTGAGTTTCAGAGTTTTTAAGCTTATGTTCCTTGGTTTTAGGTGTTGTATTGTATGTTGTATGTAGTTTATGTGGCTGATTTTTAGTAGATTGTTTATTTCCACTTTTAACAGTTTTATTTCATTGTTAATGTACTGTTTTTCATGTGATGAAAGGGAAAATATGTGTCGAAATAGGTACCGTCTGAGATACCGGCAGTGTTTTATAAGTTGCAGGCAGGTAGGACTAGGACGTACGATTTTGTTTGGCTTTTTTGGATCTATTTTAATGATTGGTATGGCTTCGGTGGAGTTTAATGCTTTATCTATTGCTTGATTAAGTTTAATTATGTGGTTGTCGATCTGTTCGGAGGTTTGGTTCAGGCAATTTGGGACTGGTGATAGATTTGTTAGGATGGTCCTGTTCCATATTAACGAGTCCATTTGTTTAAAGTTGTAGATTTTTTTCGGGTCTATTTCCTCTAGTACAAACGGTTCAAGATTTAGTTTAATTTCTACTCCAAAATGGTCTGATGGGAAGTCTTTGGTTATTTTGCATATATTGCCAGTTTCTATTGATAATTCGTTTGAACATATAAAAAAGTCTATTGATGAGTCTATTATTTGGTTGGGCCGGGTGGGTTCTATTGTTGAAAGTAATGTAAGATTGGGTTGGTTTGTGAGCCAATCGTAAAGTAATTGTCCATTTGAATTAAGGTGTCTGGGGTTATGGTTTGGTATATGCCAGCTAGGGTGTTTCGCATTAAGATCACATCCGATTATTATTGGGCTATTGTTGGTCTGTTCATTTATATGGTTTATTATATTGTTTAGGTCTCCTGTGTGAAGCAGAGTCCCTGGTCTTTTGTATAGTGTGACTAATACAATGCTGTGCCTTTCTTGTCGTCGATTTAGGTAACAGATTTGGATTGCAACTGCTTCGATGTTGATTGTGGCTGGTATGTTCAGCTGTTGATATTTCATTCCGTTTTTTGTTGCAATGGCTACTGAGGCTTTGGAGTATCGATTATTGGTTTCTGGCTGATTGTTTGGTCTTTGGCGGGTAAATTGGTATTGTGAGAGATTGGGGTTATGGGTGTCGGATAGGCGATGTTCTGCTATAAGCATGGCATTTGGCCTGTGCTTTAGAATATATTTCTCAAGCTCAGCTCGTTTGTAAAGCTGTCTAAGTCCGTTTACATTTTGGAATATACATTTAAACTTCATTGTGATATTTTTACGATAAAATCAAGTAATATTTGTTTTTTGGTGTTTTGGTTGTGATTGCTTGGGTATTTCTGAATGGTTTCTTGCATTATTTCTATGCAGTCCACAATATTTTTCCCAAATAGTTTCATTGAGTCATTATTAAGGTCTTCAAACGTGAATTTATTGGTGTTTCCTGTTTTGTTAATAGGGGTTTTCTTTATTGTTGTTGTTTCGTTATTATGGTGGTAATTTGTTCTTAGGGCGGCTGAGTAGCTTACGCCTTCTTTTATTTGGTTTTGTGTTTTGTTATAGGTTGGCGGGTTTATTTTTTTATATAGAGTGTGGGATTGTCTGTTACGTCTATCTATTGCCTCTTTTATATATTTTTTGCGTGTAGGGCAAATTCTTGCGTTGGCTGTGTGTCGTCCGTTGCAGTTGACGCATTGGGTCACGTTTTCCAATTTTTCGTCTTCATTTTCGGGTTTTTTAATTTTACATTGCCCGGGGGCGTGCGTTTCAATGCATTTTACGCATCTGTAAGGCATGTTACAGTTTGAAGCGACGTGATGAAAACGTTGACACTTGCGGCATTGCTTTATTTCTTTAGGGTGCGGTTTATACGATTCTATGTGTACCTTGCAGTTTAGCAAATATCGAATTTTAAAGATATTTGATATGTCTTTAGATTTTTTGATAACTATGTGCCAGTGCTTGGTTTTAAATGGTTCTACTGATAAGATATCAAAATCCGGAGTAGCTTCTTGTAGCGCACTCTTTACTTCTTCTTTACTGAAGACGGTGGGTGGTATTTTTTTAATTACTATGTTATGGGGTTTCATTTCTTTAGGAGTATAGGTGAAAAAATTCATTTTATTTTTAGCGAATATAGTTTTAGTTTTTTCAAGTGTTTCTATATTATAAAGTTTGATGTGCGTTACATTTTTGTTGAGGATGTTGAGAGAATATTTATGGCTTATAATGTCTTTAAGTTTGGATGGGTTTTCATTGTAAAGGACAATTACAGGGAGGTTCTTAGCGTTGTTCTCACCTTCTGATGTTGATTTTGGTTGGGCTGCGTTTGATGTTGTAGACGCCTTCTTGTTCGTGGTCTTCTTGTTTTGAACCTTCTGGTATTTTGTTGATCCAGATGTTTCTAGGGGGGGATACATGTTGTTTTTTTCATTTCCATCAGATTTAGCGTTTTTTGCGATGATGGCTTGGAGACGTTTGTTCTCCTCTCTTAGAAGTTTCATTTCTTGAAGTAGTCCTTGGAGCTCGGAATTGGATAAATTGGACTGCTCATCTTCCTCCTCTTCGCAGTCAGTAGAACTGTCGGAGCTGGAGTCACATTCATATTCCTCATATTCGTCGTCTTCGGATGTGTGTCGACGTTTAGTATTTCCGGATTCGAAATCCATTTCTTCACCGCTAACGTGAGTTGGGTCCCCGCCCGTTGAATTGTTATTGTCTGCTATTGCAGC